AGGAATTAAATCTCCAAGAGATACACTTCCCACCAAACGACAACACAACCACCACACAGTGGGCTGACAAGCATTGACCAGCGAAATCCAGCAGATATTTATGAAAGCAATGACCCAGATATTAAACAAAGTTATCTAGGTAATAGAAGAAGAGGAGCTCCTTCCCTACTCATTTTATGAGGTCTCTATCACATATTTTTTTTTAAGAGAGTTAATACCTATTCTTCTTAAGCTATTAAACAGAAGAGGAAGGGAAACTTCCAAATTCACTCTACAAAGCCAACATTACTGTCAAAATCAGATAAAGACACTACAAAAAAACAAAGCTATAAGCCAATATCTCTGAAGAACACAGATGCAAAAATCCTCAACAAAATATTAGCAAACAGGGACACCTGGGTGGCTCAGTTCATTAAGGAATCTGCCTCCAGCTCAGACCATGGTCCTAGGATTGAGTCCCACACTGGGTTCCCTGCTCTGTGGGAAGCCTGCTTCTCCCTCTGCCTGCTGCTCCCCCTGCTTGTGCTCTCTCTCTCTCTGACAAATAAATAAATAAAATTCTTTAAAAAATATTAGCAATCACAATTCAAAAACACATTAAAATCTCATTTACCACAATAGAGTGGAATTTATTCCAGGAATGCAAGAGTGGTTCATTACTCAAAAATCAGTCAATGTGATATGTTCCATTAACAAGAGGAAGGATAAAAACTACATGATTATCTCAACAGATACAGAAAAAGCATTTGACAAAGTACAATATACATTCATGATAAAAATCCTCAGCAAAGCACATTTAGCAGGAAAATAACTCAACATAATAAAGGCCATAATGAAAAACCCACACCTAGTATTATACTCAAAAGTGAAAAACTGAGATCTCTTCCTCTAAGATCAGAAATAGACAATGATGTCTGTTCTCACTACTTTTATTCAACATAGTACCTGAAGTCCTAGCTGCAACAATCAGACAAGAAAAAGAAGTAAAAAGATATCCAAACTGGTAAGGAAAAAGCCAAACTATCACTATTTGCAGAATAACACAATATTACATATAGAAAACCCTAAAGACTCTACTAAAAATTTTCTAAAACTGTTAAGTGAATTCAGTAAGGTCACAGGATATAAAATCAAAGTACAGAAGTCTGTTGTGTTTCCATACACTAATAATGAAGCAGAAGAAAGAAATTAAGAAAACAATCCCATTTATAATTTCATCAAAAAGAATAAAATATCTAGGATTAATTTAACCAAGAAGCTGAAAGACCTATACTCAGTACACTATAAGACATTGATGAAAGAAACTGAAAATGATACAAAAGAATGCAAAGACTTACCATGTTCATGGATTGCAAGAATTAATATTGTTAAAATGCCCATAATACCCAAAGCAATGTACAGGTTTAATGTAATCCCTATCAAAATACCAATAGCTTTTTTCACAAAGCTCGAACAAATAACCTAAAATAGTGGAACCACAAAAAAACTTTATAGTCAAAACAATCTTGAGAAAGAAGAACAGGGCTGGAAGTATTACAGTCCCAGATTTCAAGATATACCACAAAACTATAATAAAACAGCATGGTATCAGCACAAAAACAGACACATAAATCAATGGAATAGAATAAAGGGTCCAGAAATAAACCCATTTCTATATGGTTGATTAATCTATGATAAGGGAGTCAAGAATGTACAATGAGGAAAAGACAGTTTTTTCAATAAATAGTGTTGGGAAAACTGGACAGCTACATGCAAAAGAATAAAACTGGACCACTTTTTTAAACCATACACAAAAATAAATTAAAAACTAGAAAAAAAACATAGGTAGTATCTCTTAGACATCACCCCTAGCAACATGTTTATGGGTATGTCTCCTCTGGCAAGGAAACCAATCCAAAAGTAAACTACTGGGACTACATCAAAATAAAAAGCTTTTACACAGCAAAGGTAACCATCAAGAAAACAAAAAGGTAACCTACTGAATGGAAGAAAATATTTCCAAATGATATATCCAATGAGGGGTTAATATGCAAAATACACAAAGAACTTATAGAACTCAAAACCAAAAAGATAAACCATTTGATTAAAAAAAATTGTCAGAGAATCTGAATACAAATGGATACATAAAAAGATGCTCAACATCACTAATCATCAGAAAAATGCAAAACAAAACTACAATGAGATACCACCTCATACCTGTCAGAATGGCTAGTATCAAAAAGACAAGAAATAACAAGTATTGGTGAGGATGTGGAGAAAGGAGAAATTACAGGCACTTTTGATGGAAATGTAAATTGCTACAGCCACTGAAGAAAAAAAGTATGAAAGTTCCAAAACTAGAACTACCATGTGACCCAATAATTACACTATGGATTATTTACCCAAAGAAAATGAAAACACTAATTTGAAAAGATATATGCACTACTATGTTTATTGTATCATTATCTACAATAGCCAAGATATGGAAGCAACCTAAGTGTCCATTGATAGATGAATGGATAAAGAAGATGTGGTATATATATATATATGTATATATATATATATATATATATATGTATGTATGTATATATATATATATATATTAGAATATTACTCAGCCATGAAAAGGAATGAGACCTTACCATTTGTGACAACATGGATGTGACAACAAGAGCATATTGTGCTAAGTGAAATAAGTCAGAGAAATCAAATACCATATGATTTTCCATTTATGGAGAATCTAAAAACACATAAACAAATGAACAAACAAACAAAAACAGACTCTAAAATACAGAGAACAAACTGGTGGTTGCCAGAGGGGAAATGGGTGGGGGAAAGGATGAAGTAGATGAAACAAGTAAGAGGTACAAACTTCCAGTTACAAAATAAAGTCATGGAGATAAAACGTACAGCGTAGGGAATGTAGTCAATAACATTGTAACAGTTGTGTGGTGACGGATGATGACCAATTATCACACTGAGCATTGAGGAATGTAGAGAATTGCAGAATCACGGTGTCACACACTGAAACTAATGTAATGTTGCACATCAGTTACACTTCTATAATGAAAATAAATAATTTAAGGTAGCCATACTAGACTTCCTACAAATCAAAACAAAACAAAACAGAGACAGATTAGGAAATTACTAGAAAGCTGGTGATATATCTACTATAAAATCAAAATTTTACATTGTAGGAAATCTAACATTGTACAAAATTATACACTGAAAAACACAGGCTATACAGGAAGACAATGACTGGGAAAGGCCCCTTACCATGGAACTTTGTAATCATAGCATCAAGAACATAATGATGATATCAATAAAAACACAGCCATAATATGATATTTCTAATTTTTTCCCAAATACCATAGTCAATCATTTGCAGCCTTACTGTTAAGATTTAGTAAGTATTTCATCCTCTGAGATGAAGATCCTAAAGGGAATTTCTTCTAATAAAGCACTTTATCACGAAAATTAAAACCTAAGGCATACTTTTCACTGATCTTTTCTTTTAACGCAGGGGCAAAGTCCTAACAGAATCTTCTATACTCACAGCTCAGTCAGATATCTTGGTGCACTGAAAAGCAATTTTTTTAAAATGTTTTAAAGGCACCTAACTGCCATTATCAACACTAAAGGGAGGTTCTTCTGTATATTTTCCTATTCCCTTGGATTTGTAAAGAGTTCTCTAAAATGTAATAAGGTTTCCCCCTGACTGCTTCAAACCTTAACATGTTAGGAAAAAATTACACATAAACCAAAACAATTTTAAAAACTTTACTGGCATCATTCCACCATTAATTCCTACTGTGGTGATTCTGTTCCAAGAAATACACTGTGGGGGAACAGATTTGACTTGCATGTTCCATGGAAGAGAAAATAAGCAGAAAAGCAGAGGGCGGTAACTTGAAACTTTCTGTCCCACACTGCATTTGCTTTTTAAAAGGTCAGAGTATTTTTCCCACTCCAAGGACAGCTTAAATCTTAAATCTCTCTCCTCTACCTATCCCTCCCATCCCTGCTTTCTCCCACTCTAAAACAAAACAAAATAATACCGCTCAGAAGAATAACCCATTAGAAAGAAATTAAACTACAAGAGAATCATCAGAAAGCTGTTTAAAATCTCTTTGCATTCTTTGCATCTGATAGACCATTTTAATGTCATAATCAGAGTCCTGATGATGAATGTTTGATACCAAAACATTTGTAAAGTCTATTTTTTAAACTTGATATCAAAGTGGAAATCATTTAAGGAATAATGTGAATAATGAGGTTTATCTATTGCTTAAGTATCTCAAAAAATAAAAAGAAGGTATGGACAAACGAAGGAATGAGAGAAGGAAAAAGAAAGTAGGAAAGTCTAAAGTGATTGACTTGGGATTCAAAATAAACATAATTAGTGAGACTGGTCAAGGAAAATGTATCATTAATTAGTCATGGTTTAATAGTCCTAATTAACTAACTGCATTTAAGAAAAAAAGGTGGAAAGAGAAATGTGGCGGAGGAATTGTAGAAAATTAAGTAGTTGTGTAACAAGACAAAGAAAATACGTATTTTGTAGGGTTCTCTGAATTTAAAGGTTATAATGAAAGCTGTTCCAGTTTATTTCTGTTCAACTCTACATTACTTTAAGATAATCCTAAATAAATTTTTCATTCTAGTTTGGCTCTTCCTAGCCTGAGGTCAATTTCTAGCAACCGTCTTCTTCGGCTCCTGTAATGTCATTGGGTAGATAGATGAATTTATGAAATGAAAAATATGTTTTAATATTAGCACAAGCAAAGTATAATTAAACAGGAAAATCAATTAGAGAGGTATGAACTAATAACACTATCAAATATATAAAAGTGGGATTATCTACTCTTTGAAATTCTCAACATTGCAATTCCTTTCCATTGGTACATAACTGAAGGTAAAATTGGCATGTGATCAATATTCCAAAAGCTGTTGCAAGTCTATAAGTGGGTTTGCATCTATGCTTTGATTTATATATAGAATTTGCCTGAAAAATATCTTACCTCATTCTGGAGATCTCGTATCATTTTGCTCTTTCTTTCCATGTCAGTCTTTAAAAAATTAATCTGAAAATGAATGGAATATTATTTAAGCACATTTCAAATTCATTCCTATGGCTTTTATCGATTTATTTTCATGGTTTTTGAAGCATAATACAATGATTATCTCTTTATCAACAAATATTGCAAAAGAGCAAAGGATTAAAATTTTCATTAACCAAACTTTCATAACCAATTCATACATATATGCATTAATTATAAAAAAGCTCTTCTCAAGTACAAAAGATTTTTTTTAAATTGAGAAACCATGCATATTATAACTGTGATTCCCTTACCTAAACTCAATTAAAAAAATGTATTTAAAAAAAAAAAAAAGGCCAAACAGCAACAACAAAAAGCTAGATTCTAGGGTTGGGCCTAGAAATCTCCATTCATAAAACACTCTGCAGGTAATTTTGACCTACAGCAGGTTGGAAAGCAATGGCCTAGTGATATTCCTGGTCATTAAAGCACAGAATGTTATAGTACTGTACCAAAGAAACCATGTTTCCTTCTGAATTTGATATTGTTGGAATCTGTAATCTTGGTCAGTTGTTCAAACTATGCTTATACAAACATAACACCTTTGCTGTCTGAATATATCTGCCTAAGTATTTTGAAAAAAAAATTCAGTATAGCATAGTTGTTAAAATCTAAAACTTTATAGTCAGTGAGAGTTCACTCTGATAAAAAGTACCTTTATGATAGTGGATAAAATATTTAATTTCTCCAATTTTTAATTTCCTGGTAGTCACATTTTTTTAAGTAAAAGGAACAGATAAAATTAATTTTACTAAAATGTTTTATTTAATTCAATATACTCAAAATATTATTAGTTTGACATGTAATGGATTAATGATACAATTGACATTATTTTTTATAATATATCATTAAAATCCACTGTGTGTTTTACACTAATAGCATATCTCAATTTAGCCTAGCCATTTTATAATGCTCAATAGCCTTATGTAGCTAGTGTTTATATATACTGGACAACACAGGCTCTAAGGATCCCTGGAATGATACAAAAGAGACTGGGAATGTGGGTTATCTCTGGAGATACACTGAATCAGAGGAAATCAAGTTTAGGAATAAAATGAATTTCACCATATATACGGATTGAAAAAAAAAATAGTTCTGAAACATTTCAAACATAAACAAAAGACCAAAAAATAATATGTTAAAACACCTCTGAGCCCAAACCTGAGAATAAAGAAATGTAAATATTTTGTCCAATTTTCTTCAGACCTTGTAAAAAAAAATGTTACACCTACTATTAAAGCCCCACCTAATATTTCTTCCTTCGCTCTCCAGAAATTATTGTGTATGAGTCCTGTGCATGTTTTCCTACGTTTTGCTTTCTGTGTATTGTGTATCCTCGTTAACAAACATTAACATCCTCTCTTTTCTGGCGTGTATAGAGGTCCTTAAACAATTCCTTCAAATGGTAATAGAAATCTAAACCAATTCTGGATGCTCAAACTATGTGTAAAACAAGCAGAAGCCTGAGAACTACCACAGCCATTGTTTTGGTCATCATAATTTTCAAGTTAAAATTTAACTCTGAAGATAATGACAGCAACCTGAAAACATAAGTCACACTCTGTCCCACTGAGAAGATAGTTCTATTCTGCTGAAAATGCAAAGGATTGTAGGATGTGGTGGTGTTCAAAATTAGTATGTGTATGCAGCCCAGTAGGGTATGCCCCAACAGACAGCTTTTGCACCCATTTCTACTGCTGTGTACCGCCTCAGTGTACAGATAACCAATCTTGGGGCCGGACCAGCCTTTGCGGTTCTTAATATGATTGCAAGATACCCTCAGCAATATTACAGCAGGAAACTTTGAAAATTAAAAAAAAGAAAGGTTTATGACTTACTAGTCCTGGAAATTACAGGTCACACCTGGGGCCACACAGTGAGGCCATGGATCGAAAGAGCCAGGGAGAATGAAGGCCTGAGGTTCTGCTTTTATTGGGGTAGAGGGTAGGGGCCTGCCTAGGGTTTCCTGGGATCACTTTTTAATTGGTGAATTTAAAAACGTAATAACACAAGAGGAGAAAAAAACCAGCAGCCTAAATGGTCAATTACAGAAATCAACCAAGATCTCCAAAGGAGCCTGAGCTACTTTGGAGCTTAGAGCCTGGGAGGGCAGCACCTGGCCTGGGCTCCCCTAGTCTTGGGGCTGGCCCTGTGTGTATTTCAGATGGCCGTCCTAGAAGCGAACACCTGAAAGTCATGGCTTACTTCAGCACTTGCATTACGAGGAAGAAAAGCCAGCTGTCAGAGCTTATACTACATCCACCCAGGCACGTTAGAAATTTTGGTACGTTACAGATTCGTCTTTAAGTCATGAACGACTTAAAGCCACCTTGCTTATATTAATGACCTGTTCTTCCACGGACCCGCTATTTTTCCCAAATCATCACATTTTTATATTATTCAGTATATATAATACATAATTAACAATTTTCAAATTATTATATTAGTTTTTACATCCAAACACAATAGAAGGGGTTCTCACACATTACTTCAAAACAATCTTTAAAAGTAACTAGAGGGAAGCCTGGGTGGCTCAGTGGGTTAAAGCCTCTGCCTTCAGCTCAGGGTCCTGGGATGGAGCCCTGCATCAGGCTCTCTGCTCAGCGGGGAGGCTGCTACACATCCGCCCCCACCGCCCCGCCTGCCTCTCTGCCTACTTGTATTCTCTGTCTGCTAAATAAATAAATAAAATCTTAAAAAAAAAAAAAAAGTAGCTAGAGCCCGTTTTTTTTTTTTTTTTTTTTTTTATAAACTCTACACTCAACATGGGGCTCAAACTGCTGACCCTGAGATTGAGTTGTCTGCTCTACCAACCAAGCCAGCCAGACACCCCAAAATCTGACTTTAATTAAAGAGTAAAATAAAAACTGGGGCTCCTGGCTGGCTTTGTCAGTATAGCAGGCGAGTCTTGATCTCAGGGTTGGGAGTTTGAACCCCACTCTGGACAGAGTTCACTTAAAAATTAAAAAAAATAAGGAGGATAATGAAAATATATTGCAATGTTAAGAATATAATCACTTAAACATGAAACAAGGATAGAAAATCTTGAGAACACAATGCTCAAATATTCAAGAGCTAAAATATATTCAGAATATTCAAAAAATATTAGCATTTTGAAATGGTTAGTCTAGAATCCCAACAGGTTTTTAACAACCCTGGCAAAATAGGCATTCCTAGTAGATATGAATTTAATTCTCAGAAACAGAAAATCTCATTTACTTACTTTGAACAAAGAAGTAAGAACATAGCAATTCTTTAGTCTTAATGAGAATCAAAGCTAGAAGTTAAATTTTGCCTTTAGACTAATTATGTCTTACTTAGGGCACGTTAAGCCATAAAAATTAATAAGAGTACTGAAATGTATCCAATGAGCATTAATATCTTTAATTATTCTGGTTACAGAGAATGAGAGCTCATTCTTCCTTGCTGTTAGGAGTTTTCATGAGGAACACAGGTTTGAAAGATATGCTATTCCATTATTTGCTTAGGGATAATAACAAATGTTCACTTATTCATAAAAAGTATTTTCCCACAGAGTTAGATCATGACAGCTTTATTGCTTCTTCAATTTAATTTTTCTTAAGTTTATCTTCTTTTATATTTTTGTGATTTAAGTTTATTTTTTAGGTTTCATAACATTTTTACTATATACTTAACAAATGATATATTTGTAACATTTTTTGCATAAAATATACAATCTGTTATTTTTATGGAAAAAGGCATAGTAATTAGTTATGTAATCAAGGGTAGCACATAAGATTATCAGCTCTTAAATCTAAAATAGCACAATGTTTGCAGAATTAAATCCAGCTTTTATCCTCTATTTGAGAGTGAACAATTACAATTATCTTTATCTCTCCTTCTTACCCAACCTTCAATTACACCAACAGTCTAACAGAGAAAATAATAATTATTCACCAAAAATAAATGTTAAAAAATACAAATTAGTGGGGCACCTGGGTGGTTCAGTGAGTTGAGCCTCTGCCTTCAGCTCAGGCCATGATCTCAGGGTCCTGGGATGGAGCCCCACATCGGGGGGGTGGGGGGTGGTCTCCTCAGCAGGGAGCCTGCTTCCCCCCCACCCCTGCCCATCTCTCTGCCTACTTGTGATCTTTTAAAAAATTAGTTTAATTCTTAGTTAACCTAGAATTTCCAAATAGGGAGAACAAGCACAAAATATTCTGTTTGAGTCTACCAAAATTTGGAAGAAGTAATTCCCAGTACTATGAAATCTCTCTTCTAGATCCCACCAAATGCACAAAACAAACAAACAAATAAACAAAACATTGTTTTAATAAGTATATCTCAATCCCATATTTGTTGAGGTTGCAGTCATCTCTTTATCTCCTTCTACACTCGGAGTTAAAACGTATTAGTCATTCAGCTGGAAACACTGAACAAGTACTCTTGGTGACAAGCTTTTCACAAAAACACTAACCAACCCAGGACCCTGAAGCTCAGCCACCCCTTTGTACTGGCATGTTCTCACAGACCAAACCATCACACACCTGCCCTAACCATCCCAGAGTCAGATACCAGACAACTAGGGGCATTCCCTATGCCCCAGTGCCTGCTGAGATCATTCACTTGGACTCCTTCCAAGCTGCTTCCCCTTCCTCACACGTCTTCCCCAAAGAAACCACAAACTGCGGGCTCTTGCCCGCAGTTTCTCACCTCCCTCTGCCTCATGACCTACCCGAGGACTTCCCTGGACATTCACCTGTCACAAGTCATGCCACCCCCCTGAGAACTGTGAGAAATAAACTGAATTCTCAACGGTGGTCATTTCCTGATTGGACGAACTGTACCTTAAATTTTGCATTTATATATTATATTTTAAAAGAGAATCGGGTCCTAGAAACAAGATAAAAGGTCCAGTCCCCATAAATGGTATGTAAGATGGTTCTGGAGAATAAAGTAGATATGCAGTGAGAAAATCTGGAGAGAAGTTTGATTCTCAAGCCTTGGGGTGTATCAAAATCACCTGTGGAGTTGATTAAACAGGTAGTGTATGGCCCCACCATGGAGAGATTCCTGTTCTGTAGATGAGGGGTGGGGATACAGTGAAGAAAATGCAGTCACCAAGATCATAAAAATACTTGGTCGGCATTCATTCCAAGAAAAGATTTTTGTTGTATTCGATTGTTAGGGGTCTTCTAATTCCCAGCCCTCAATTATTGATGAAAACAGAGGTCAAGAGTGGGACAAAAGTGCTGGTATCAGCCCCACACCAATGGATCCTGAATTCCGGCATATAATGACCTTGCCTGTTTAATCAACTCCACAAGTAATTCTGACACACCCCAAGGCTTGAGATTCAAACTTCTCTCCAGATTTTCTCACTACATTTCTACTTTATTTTCCAGAACTATCTTATATACCATTTATGGGGAGTGGACCTTTTATCTAGTTTCTAGGACCTGAGTCTGTTTTAAAAATGATTTCCCAGCCCCAGAGCAAAGGACGCGAGAAAGAAACATACTTACAGTAGCTTGTTGTTTTTCTGCTTTCTCGGTTGTCTCTTTAAGTTGATTTTGCAGAACCTCCTGGAGAGATTTCATTTGTTCTCTAGGAGAAAACAGAGAGCAAAAGAGAGACATAATTCCGTTATTTCCTCTGTACATTATGAAAGGAGGCTTTGCTGTCCACATATGTTGAGGAAACAGATAAGAATTGTATGTAAGGACACACTTAAGCATGCAGGATTTATTTGAGGATTCTAAGAAAAAAGTTTTCTCTTCCATGCAAATACTAAAAGCAAGCTATATTTTAAGGAAATTGCCTTGCTATTGTGTCTAGTAAGAATCCCACTGTGTGAATCATCTGTGAGCTGCACAATGTGTTAAATCAAATCAATGTAATAATTAGAGTTGAAAAGCTAATTTTAGGGACAGCATGCCAGGGTGTTAACATGCTGTTTAGAAAAAAAGTTGCCACGGACTTGCTGATAGGATAAAATTACAACTCCCCTTGGATGATCCTAATTGATTAATTCTAAAGCAGTGTACTTTAGACATCTTTATAAGGCCTGAGACTTTTTATAAAAATGAAGAGAAAAGACGCTTATTTTGAACTTGAGGGCTGGCTCATTTACTGTGGTTAATAAGAGAAATACATGTCTGCATGTATATACACATTATGTCTCAAGCTCAGTAATGCACACGGATCTTGTCTCACTTGTTAAAAATATAAACATTTCCATAATTTTGCATTCCAATCTCAAGGGCTTAAGATGGACTCATTTATGATAAATCATCCTATCTTTGTGTGACCCCATTTTATCACCTAAACTACCACTTCCAAAAGTTTTGATACCAGATGAGGGTTAGTTAAGTGTGTGTGTGTGTGTGTGTGTGTGCATGTGTACATGTGCACACACGTATTTTATTCTGGCTATAGGAATAAACTCCTTTAAAGTAACAACAGCCAAACAGAAAGATTTCCTAGCCTTACCAGCAGAACTCAAATTCATTTAACATTCCCAACCTAGTGCCAAAAGACTACCTCTACAACCTTTGTGTGCAACTACACTACAGAGACTAGGGAAAGGAGTGTACCTTCTTAGGCCCAATTTCTTCATCTATAAAATGGGTATACTAATAGAGCTATCTGATAAGTTTGTAATGAGATTTAGATGACATAATGTAGGCAAAATCCTTAGTACAATGCCTGGAAAATAATCACTTAATAAACATGAGATCTCTGTCATAACCACCAGGATCACTGCAGGTCCTAAGTTCATTCTTTCACCACCACATCCTACACAACCGCAAACTGTTCTTTCATCCACTGGGATTTAATGATGCTCCCAGATTTCTTACTCTAGAAACCCTTAGGTCCCAGTCTCAATTTCAGGATATCAGTAAGAGTCTATATGATTGCTAAAATCAATTTGAACTTTGTTTGTCTAGGCAAAATATAATTGGAACAAGATATAAAATAATTATAGTCACTTTGGTTTGTAGATGATTTATGTTTGCGTACGTGAAGCTCATAACATGCTTTTGCTTAGAGCATACTTAAGTCTCAGCTTCCATTCCTTCCTCAAATTTGTATCATTTATCAAGATTGTTTCATATATAGACATTTAAATTTGTACTTCCATTATTCTTTCTGCTATCTTCCACACAAAAATTTGTGGCATAATATAGTGTAGTAATGTCTACATATGTTATAGGCTTACAATGCATCAGACACTGTTAGAATGTTCACACCAAACTATGACGTACTACTACAGAGAGAAGACTGATACAGAGAAAGGTGGTGAAATTGTGTTCTAGAGCCTATGTGTTCAAACTCTAGAGTCATTACACTACCTTTACAGAGAGAGGGAAAGAGGAGGGAAAGAAAAAAGGGAGGGAAGGATGGAAGGATCTACATGGTATCCCTAACACTCAGATCTTCAACAAGCACTGAATGAAAACACAAAATATTGTATTTCTAACTGATAAAAAAAAATTATGGTAAGATTTTAAAATGATAATCATTTCATGATTATTTTTGAATTTTAAAATTATCATTTTAAATGATAGATATTTTTAAATTAAACTATAAAATAGTATATATTTTTTATTTAAAAAATGTGTGTGTGTGTATCAAAAATTCCCACATACATCAAAGAAAGCTAACAGAATGGTAAAGATGGTTTTTTGAAACTTCTGAATGTCTTTAAATATACTTCACCTTACAGCTTATTGTTGCACATTCTCATGGCTCTCATGAGAGCAACCAGTCTCTGCCTCACAGTTTTGCTAAATTATAATCCTATGAGAGAGGACTTGCGACTCGCTCATAGGCCCCCTCCATCAACTATTGCAACTACTCTAGGGTCTTATTTGGGATACCTGAGCTGAGTCTTTAATTCTAAAGAACTCTTTGAACACCATCCAGATCAAAATACCAATGGCATTTTTCAAAGTGCTGGAACAAACACTCCTAAAATTTATATGGAATCAGAAAAGACACTGAATCGCCAAGGAAATGTTGAAAAAGAAAAACAAAGAACGGCATCATGTTGCCTAATTTCAAGGTACATTAAAAAGCTGTGATCACCAAGACAGCATGCTACTGGCAGAAAAACAGACATAGACTAGTGGAACAGAATAGAGAGCCCATATATGTACCCTCAATTCTGTGGTCAACTAATCTTCAACAAAGCAGGAAAAGATTTCCAATGGAAAAAAGACAGTCTCTTCAATAAATGGTGCTGGAAAAATTAGACAGCTACATATGGAACAATGAAACATGACCATTCTCTTACACCATACACAAAGATAAATTCTAAATGGATGAAAGACATCTAAATGGATGAAATAGGAATCCATAAAAATCCTAAAGGAGAACATAGGCAGTAACCTTTTCGACATTGGCCACAGCAACTTCTTTCAAAACATGTCTTCAAAGGTAAGGGAAACAAAAGCAAAAAAGAACTTCTGGGACTTCATCAAGATAAAAGTTTCTGCACAACAAAGGAAACAGTCAACAAAACAAAACGAAGAGACAACCCACAGAATGAGAGAAGATATTCACAAATGACACTACAAACAAAGGGCTGATATCCAAGATTATAAAGAACTTCTTAAACTCCACACCTGAAAGTCAAAAATGGGCAGAACACATGAACAGACACTTCTCCAAAGAAGACATACAAATGGCTAACAGACATATGCAAAATGTTCAACATCATTAGCTATCTGGGAAATTAAAATCAAAACCACATTGAAATACCAACTTACACCAGTTAGAATGGCAAAAATTGACAAGAAACAACAAATGTTGGAGAGGTTGTAGAGAAGGGGGAACCCTCTTACACTGTTGGTGAGAATGCAGTTGGTACAGCCACTTTGGAAAACAGTATGGAGATTCCTCAAAAAATTAAAAATAGAGCTACCCTATGACCCAGCAATTACACTACTGGGCATTTACCCCAAAGACACAGATGTAGTGAAAAGAAGGGCCATATGTACCCCAACATTCATAGCAGCAATGTCCACAATTGCCAAACTGTGGAAGGAGCCACGATGCCCTTCAACAGATGAATGGATAAAGAGGATGTGGTCCATATATACAATGCAATATTACTCAGCCATCAGAAAGGACAAATACCCACCATTTGCATCAACATGGGTGGAATTAGAGGAGATTCTGCTAAGTGAAAGAAGTCAAACAGAGAAAGACAATTGTCATATGGTTTCTTTTATTTGTGGAGCATAAGTAATAGCATGGAGGACATTAGGAGAAGGAAGGGGGAACTGAAGGGGGATAAAGCAGAGGGGGAGATGAATCATGAGAGACTATGGACTCCAGGAATCAAACTGAGGGTTTCAGAGGGGAGAGGGGTGGGGGATGGGTTATCTCAGTAATAGGTATTAAGGAGGGCACGTATTACATGGAGCACTGGATGTTATATGCAACAATGAATCATAGAACACTACATCAAAATCTAATGATGTATATAATTTTAAAAGTTATTAAAAAATTATAAGAAAAAAAGAACTGATGATGGCTCCAGTGACACCTATGATAGGTTGCTCAGCGTGTTGAGCACATTTCTGCACAGAATTTCACTACGAGGGATTTGAAAGGGCAGTGGCTTCATACGTCTTCATATCAAATTATAAATATAAAAAACACACTCATCCAAATACACTACAGGAAGGCATTTTTTTTCAAGTGGTTACCAACTTGTATTGTAAAAACATCTCAGATGGAGCACTATCCCGCCTATTCTTTTTTGTTTTCAGAGAACACGATATTTTACAATCCTTTGGTACACAGAGTCTAAAATTGCCTTCTAGGAATCTCCACCCACCAACCACAATAGTGAATAAAATGTCTTATCACTTTTTTTCCTAAGACAGTTTTCAGACACTTTAGGTTACCCTCCTACCCACCCCCCAAGTCTCCATTTCATGGGTACACACTCTTGCTCCTCATATGGTATGTTTTGGATCTGGTCTTCTGCTATGAATATTATCTAGGCTGTCAAAATATTTCTGAAAGTGTAACACTCAAGAGTCAATACAACATTTGTGCTCACTCACTCCCTCCCACACACATGTGCACACAAAAATATGCACACACATTCCTTTCTCTGTCTCAACAGAAAGGCATTCTTTGCTCTCTCTGCATGGTTGTATATGGCCCACCCCATAACCTCTGAGTTTACTTACTTAAGTCTAGTTCCAGCTACCCAGGGAGACTGATTAGACGCCTCTTGATTACAATTCCAAAAGGGAAATTCCATTTGATTTGGTTTTGTCTTGGTGATCACCTCTGACCTATTAACTGTGAGTGATGTTGGGAGTCACATGAAAGAAGCATGACCTCTTGAGACCACTTCTACAGGTAAGTGTTAGGCGGCAAGCAGCCCAAAGGAAGCAGGGTTAGGAGGAGCAGGACGTTCAGACGGATGGCATCTACAACACAGTGTGCTGTTCAGACTCAGATAATACTTCTAAATTTGCCATCAGTCAATATTTTTTAATATTCTAAAATAAGACGCTTTTTCTTTGACGGTTTATTAGTATCTCTTCTTTTCAAAATGAGATACACAGCCTGCTTCACCTTCAGGGAACCATGATTTTTATATATCTCTTTCTAAGTAATCAACAAAAATTAGTATCTCTAATGTCATATCCTTCTGAGACATTGCCTATTGTTAGAATTTACTGAGTTTTCTATTCTGACTTCGTGTACATTCTACAAGTTACACATTTTAAACAAGTTTTCAAACTCTGGATAAAACACTGAAATTGATCTTCTGTTATGAAGATTATCTAGGCTGCTTTGTGATCAGATAACTAACGTGAAAAGGTGTGGCTACTGGGTGAGACCAGTCGAGTAAATTCCACCTAACACAACTCTCTTCAACTCATGTAGGCCCTTTGAGCAACCGTTTCCTATTAAACAGTGATAATCATAACTGTTTATAAGACAACAGTGAGGGTGAAATGGGAAAATATATATAAAGCATCTGGCAGAGCCTCTAAGTGTGCAACAAATAGTAGCTTGTTTCTACTTAAAGTATCTTTCTTTTTCCTTTGAGAGGCAATTTCAAATCATATAGCTTTTCATACTGCATAGAAATCTATCTCACAATACACTTTCTTTAAAAAAACACAATCCAACACTAATAAGATTAGATTAATTCTACTTATATTGTCAATAAAATTACCCCAGTCTTCACCATCCCCACCATTACCACCTTAAGTTTTGATAGTATTACATACCGCCCACTGAAATCAGTATTACTGCATATGTCTGTTGACCGGCAGACTCGCTGGGGTCTATCTTACTAGGATAATGGGGAAAATTCTACAGATATGTAAACATTCTGTGATCTGCAGACAAGCAACATAGCATTACGATCACTAGCGAACTTGTTAGAAATGCACAATTTCCAACCCCACCATAGATTTACTGTATACAAACCTGCATTTCAGTAAGATTCTGAGCCCTTCAAGAGTCAGTAAGAAGAGAAGTGAATTAATGCATTTTGAATGACCCGATTTTTGTGAAATTTCTGAGTGGAGTTTGACACTCTGGGAAAAAAAAAAAAAAAGAACTGAGAAAATGAAAGGAAATCCAGTCTTACCTTTGTCTCTGACCTATTTCCAGAAGCTTCTCAACATCAGTTTTGGAAGATCTCTCATCATTTTTCAAAGACTGGTAAGAAAAGTGGGAAAAGAAAAAATCTTATTCAAGTGATAAATTGGGGCTCACTTTACTTTTGTCTCTATGGCACAGGTGTGACTGCTCTTCTGTCCTGAAACAAGAAGGTGCAAATGACGCACGGTGTTCATCAGGGCTCTAAGGACGCCCACAGGAATTTATGACACCAAGCACAGGTGCTACCCAGTGGTGAAAGGGAATAAACTGAGCCTCAGCCCTTAGAGGTCCGGTGGAGGGGAAAACGCTCTCCAATACCTAGGTCTCTTTACAAATGAGTATAAAACACATCTTCCGCTCTCCAGGTGAAGTTTCATTGTGTTCTCTGCAGGCATGTCAAGCCAGCTCTGGCATCGTTTCTACAAATTCACACGGACATAAAAGACCTTTCTGAATCTGCTAAGTAATGACATAATTCACGATCAAAGAAGCCCAAAAGCATGTACCTGTTTGGTCTTATCTATTTATTATTAATGAGTAATGCAGCAGAATACACAGAAAAACTAAGGCTATGTAAAACTGTAACTGCTCTGACAAGATATATAGGGGTATAAAGGGGGAAAAATAAAGTATCATCTCAGTCCTTAGTGTTTATTTACTCTGGCAAATTCAACATCCACAGACCGTGACTTCAAGCAGAAAAGCGCACTGAGCTATTCTCATTACAGAATCCCTCCTATTAAGTCTTCCCTAAGAACTTTCTTATTTGTACTCAATAAACTATTTAACAGGGTAACCTTTCTTGATATTAGACGTTGAAACTGAGGAGGAGTGATATTGTTTGCAGGAAAAGCAGCTGTGGCAGGCAGAAAATTGACAATCTTAGGAATGGCAAATACTTTGTTTACTTAATATCTATTTAACAAATACCTATCATGAATTATGCAAAGTCCTGTGCAGAGGCACAGTGTCTGCCTTCACAAATTTTATAGTCTAATGCTAAAATCAGTCAACTTTCATACAGTGAAATCAGCATTCTGATTGGGATGTGATGGGCTGAATTGTATGAGAGAAACTTCTTTCTGGCAGCCTGGGTGGCTCAGTTAAGCACCTGCCTTTGGCTCAGATCATGATACTGGGGTCCTGAGATCAAGCCCCGCATCTATAGCCTGGAGCAGGTCACGGAATCTGCTCTTTGACTTCCTTAGGTGAAGATCAGGGATGATCTTCTGTCTACTTTAGACAGTTACTGGAAAGCTCAGAGGACAAAACAGATGTGGAAAAACAGTTGATGAAAAGTACATTAAAACATGCCTATTCATTTATTGACCATCTGTTATATTCTGGGCATTCTGAAGGAAACTATGATCAAGCAGATGACTGTCTTCAAGAAATTTAAAATAAAAAAAACCAAACAAATGAAAAAGAACATGAGCTGCAGAAATGGAAAGTGCAGGTACAGACAGGAGTCAGCAAGATATATCTCAGTAGGAGAGCCATCGTGTTCTTAATTATCATTTACCCAGAAATGTCCAGGGAAGTGGAGTATACTTGGAAAATATTCTAAGTTCCTATAAGGATGTTAAAGGTTGAGACACCTACTAACTGATCAACATAATACTTATTGGTTGACCTGTGTTACCATCCATTACCACCCCATCCTGGGGCTATGGTTACAGAGAAAAGATTACAAGACTTTCAAAGCTCCTATCTTCATGAAGTCCCACTAGAAGAATAGTGTAGAATGGGCTATGTAGTATTTACTGTGAGTTTAAAACCTAGAAGCAGTATTTATCAGATATATGACCAGGCACTTCCTTGGCCTATTTGAGACTTGTTTCCTCAGTTTATGAGTAAAATTTTGTGAAGAGGCTGCTAAGAGGATTTAATAAGATAAAAAATGAAAAATACCTTGTACACTGGCTGACAGGAAATGGAAATAGGAAATAATTACCCTGGGAAATAATTCCCTGACAGGAAATGGAAATAGGAAATAATTACCCTTTTAAGAAACATGATTCTATGAAATTATACATTCTTATCAAGCAATTTTTCAGAATGTGACTGGGTGTCTTAACTTAGGCTACCAGTGAGACACTGTGTCCTGGTCACACATGGGCATCTCACCATATGCATGACAGAGTTTTGAAGTGCCAGTTGTTTCCTGAGTCTGAGAAGATGCAGGTGTACTGAACATTTTTTGCAGCCTCATATAATTGGTGAATTTCTACATAATGATAAGGTGCAACTCTGGTGTCAGCTTCCTACAGAAATTTCACTTAGTTCCCTTTTCATCCAAGTCAGGGCTTCCCTAACGTTCTATATATTCTTACATCGCAGCACTGTCCTTACCCTGCTGCCTGTCTCTGTACTTTAATGGAATATGGGTGGTTTTTCTGCTCTTATTTTTATGTCCTCAAGTTGCAACATAACTTCTAGAACAAGAGCTTGGGCACTGGGCTCCTACACCTGCGCTGTCACCTAATTCTCTCTGTGTCCCCTATAGCTGCTTAACCTTTCTCTAGGTCTTGTTTTCTTACCTACAGGATGAAACTACTAGTAACCAGAGCAGTCTTTATGTAAAAAATAAAGATTGTACAAAGAATACCTAACACAAGGCCTTGACCATTTTCAATAAACTGTTGTGGCTATGGACACCATCATCATCATTATCATCACCTTCAAGGAAAAGAAAGCTAAGGACAACACTGGCTCCACATGGTTCAGAAACATGGTTTTGTGCAGTAACTAATTCATAAGCCCTGAAGCCAGATTTCCTGTATTTAAACTCTGGTTTCTTTTGTGACATTCAACTTATCTTTTCTAAGCATAATCCCTCATGTATAATAAGAAAAAAATCACATCAATAGTACCTGTCTTACAGATAGACACATTATGAAAATTAAAATTACGTCCTCAAAAAATTCACTGTTTACTCAAATATCAAAATATCAGATATTTCAGAAAATTCATCTTATCAGATATAGACCTAGTTTTTGGTTGAGATTTCATGGGAGTATTAATACATTTTCATAGATGACTCTTGACTTTCTAAGACATTTTCCCATTTTAGCAATGAGGATTACTAAAGATTCTTGAGAATTATCCTTTGTGGAATTAAAAATTCTCTTCTAGAGATCATTCCTATTTTCAACACAGGGGTCAAATTGATCTTAGAAGCTATGAGAGACTGATGGCCTTGCCAAGTACATAATTTTCTCCTTTCTGAATTTGCAAACCACAGATTCCCACACTGCATTTCAAATGACATTTCTTTTCAAAGCTCATATATAATAAATAACTCCCTTGGTCAAACCCCGAAACATATTCAAAACTGGTTAAAAAATGCAGGAGTCTTTAATGCTAATCCACCGAGACAAACCGGGTGACTTCTCATCCTTTGCTGCCTGGAAAATTAGTTTTCGTCTCACCTGAAGGTTGACTTTAATTCCATCAAGTTCTCTTGATGTCTTTGTCAGCTGATGGAGGATGTTGGTTCGCTCCTTAAAGACTTCTTTCAGCTGCTTTTCTAGCTCTTCATAGTCCTGTCTAACACAGAAAAAAATCGCATGAGAGCCCTTCAAAAAGTTCCACTGGGGTTCAGCCTCTTTAAACACTATCACAGGTGCTTGCATTTCAAGCAAAATCTAGATCATTGAAACCCTAATTACTAGGATGTTTTGTTTTTCCTCTTCCACCTAAAAGGAGAAAATTGAAAACAAAGCAGTCTTACAACAAAGGTTTTATTTTGCATTAAGGGTTCTCTAAACCACAGAGAAATTCCTGAACAATACTGTCTTTGACAGGTTGAAGATGGCTCATTAGGTACCTCTCGGAAACAGATATTTTCCATGACATCACCACACTTCTTCCTAAGGTCTTTGACATCTCACAACATGAGATATGACCTGAACCAATGTATTTCAAATATTTAGACAGGTTCTGACACTGGGGAGACATACTTGTGGGTAGAGTCAGGGCAGAACGTGGGGTTCTTACTTCATCTCTGTAGGTAGGGAGGAAGCCCAGAGAAAAGACAGCCCTTCCCAAACATGTCTAAGAATCTCTATTGCTATTAAAGAGGTAATGGAAAAAAAAAACAAAAAAACACAAAGTATCTATGAAATCAGTAAATAAATACAGTAATTAGAGTAAAATTTGAACAGACTTGTTAACAAGTTTCATGAAGGAAAGACATTTAACTCCATATCATCTATACATATTGTTTTCTTACTTTTCTCCTATGGTCTTTGTAAGACCAGTACTGTAATTCTCATTTTGTAAACATAAAATAATTGAGCTCAGAAGGATCGAGTTACTACCCTAAGATCTTATTCAAGGAATAAATGGGCAAGTAGTTTGTGTTTGTGTATATTTATGTATGCTATGGCAAGTGTGTGTGTGCATACAGGGAAAATGTAGACAAGGAAAATGATTGCTCTACTTGCATTTCTTCCCTTAGGGATCATCTGAGTATGCCTTCTACCCATTCATATTTTGGGTTAGTTTTTGTGACAGCTTGCTGGGGCTGCTGTCACAAAGTAGTACAGAATGGGTGGCTCAAACAACAGAAATTTTTTTATGTTACAAATCTAGAGGCTAGAAACTCAAAATCAAGCTGTTGGTAGAGTTGTTTCCTTATGAGGCCTGTGAGGGAAAATTCTGTCTCAGGCCTTGCTCTTTTGGCTTGCAGGTCATATCTTCCCCTACATGTCTTTACATGGTTTTCTCTGTGTGACTCTGTGACTAATCTTCCCTTTTTATAAGGACTCCACTCATATTAGTTTAGAGCCCATTCTAGTGACCTATTTTAACATGGTAGCTTCTATCAATACCCATCCCCAGATGATGTTATATCTAAGGGGTGGGGGAACTTCAACATATGAATTTTGGGGGGTACACCTCAACCCATAACAGTTATTTCATCTATTGATTTAAAGAAGCTCCTGTCCAGTAAGGTTTTTAACTGTCATTATAGTGAAGATATTTTCCAAATCTGTTATAGATTTTTACATTTACTAACTCTGCAATTTCTTTTTAAATATACATGGGGATAAGTCTTTTCCTTTATGGTGTCTGTACTGCTCTTGCACAAATAGATCTTCTACATGCCAATACTGTTCTTTAAAAGTGGTTGTGAAGATACATTGGGTAATTGTTGCTAAACTACAAAATTAATTTTGGAATATATTGTATTTATGTATTTTTCATGTATGTATATATTAAAAGATGGCAATATAATTTAGATAAGCATAGCCAATTGTATTAGCACAATTGTGACAATCCTTTCTCCACTGATTTTGAAATGAGGTTTTCTGATGTACCAAATTCCTTTTTACTGTATGTTTTGGGACCTCTATTAGGATGTACTGATGAATTGGTTGCAACACTAAATCATGGATTAATTATTACAGCTGTGTGCTACAATTTGTTACTTCCTATATTTTGTTTTTATTCATAGTTTTATTGATAAATTTTCTGTATCTGTGTATTCAGTGAATTTTAGAATCAGTTTGTCCATTTCATAAAAACTCCTATAGGGAATTTAATTGAAACTGCATTCATATTATAGTTATATTTAAGGAAATGCATAACAAAAGGGTAGCTTTCAATCCAAAGACAGATGGTTTCATATATTATTTTAGGACTTTTATATGATTCAGCAATGCTTAAAGTTACTTCAAAGTAACTTTTGCTCATTTCATGTTGGACTTATTGCTGTTAATGTGGTGGATTTTTCCACTCCACTGCCTACATGAATGTTGCTGGCTTCTTTTAACGCTATTGACTAAGTTGATCTTGATTCCAGGTATCTTATTAAAGAAGAGTAGTATTAAACAAAGTAACTATAACAAGTAGTTGCTAGTTGATTTGTTTGGCTTTTTCAAGTGGACAGCAATATTTTCTTTCAATAATACCATCTCTTATTCCAATAACTCTTATTTTTTTCCTCTTTGCTAATTATACTGGCTAAGACCTCCTAAACAATGCCAGGTAGAGAAAATGATAGTAGATCATCTAATTTGTTTGTGACTTTACGATAGCTATATTAATTATGTTTCATCAGTGAGTAAATGTATGTGAACACTTGCTGTAATTTTCAGCTGATACTACTGTTTTCAGGTCATTCTTTTTAAAATAAGAATTCTGCTGAGTTGTAGCACTTATGCAGAAAAGAACTACACAGTCCCCAGGACACATTTCATGAACTCTCATAAAGTGAACATAGAGGAAATTTTAAAAATGAACCATGTACCCTAGATGACAATTCTTTGACTTCACCCATTTATTACGTTCACTCTCTTCCTCAAATATAACCAATATTTTTATTTCTACTACTTCATAATCACTTGCCTATGTTTGAAATTTATGCAAATGTTGAATGCCTGTTATTTGATTTGTTTTATACAACATGGAATTTGTGAAACTCGTCCATATTATGTGGAGAAATAGTGTGTTAGTTTTTATCACTGCATAGTATAGTAATGAGTAATTATATTGCAATGCATCTATTCTAATACCAACAGACACCTTTTTCCCCAAGTTTTGACTGTTATGAATATGAATATTTCATAGGCCTTGTATTTAACATACAAATACATGTATGCCAAGTACATAACTAAGAAAGAATTGCTTCATTATAGAAAATACATTTTCAGCTTCAGTAAATACTGCCAGAGAATTTTCCAAATCAGCTATATCATAGAAGAGGTGAAGAATTTCAATTGCTTCAAAGTCTTATAAACTGTGGTATTGTCAGTATTTTTAAATTTTCAGTCACTCTACTGGTTGTACAATAGTACTACATTTTTAGCTGTAATTTATATTTTACTGGTGATCCAAAGTGAGTACCTTACAAAAAATGATATTTAAATATGATATTTTAAAAAATACTTTATTTGAAAGAGAATGAGTGAGAGAGCACACAAGCAGGGAGAGGAGTCAAGGGAAAGAGAGAAGCAGACTTCCCACTAAGCAGGGAACCCAACCTGGAGCTCAAACCCAGGATCCAGGGATCATGTCTTGAGCCAAAGGCAGATGCTTAGCTGACTCAGCCACCCAGGAGCCTTAAATATTATTTTTTTATAAAATGCCTGCTCATGCCTTTTGCTTTTTGTGCATTGGTTTGCCCATTGCTTATTATTTATTTGTAGGTGATATTTATATAGTCCACACATGAGCTCTTTGATGGTTAAGTGTATTGAAAACATAATTATCTCCTGCTGTTGGAATTTTAAATATCTTAATGGTGTCTTCTGATGAATACACATTAATAATATAAGTATAGATAAAATTATTCATCTTTTATATTCAGAGTTGTTCACTGAGTTGTACCACTTAAATTTGTAATTGTATGAAAAATATTTTTATCTGATTATAAATATTATATCTTGCAAACATTTAAAATGATGTATTGCTAGCATATTAAAACATGGATTTTTGTATGATTTTGCATTCAGCAAATTATCAACTATAAAAATTATTTGTGGAGAATTTTGTATTTTCTTACAAGTGTAATCATATTGTCTGCAAAAGTATTTTTTATTTTTTCAATCCTTAAGTCTTTATTTAAATTCTTTATCTTACTTTGCTATCAAGGACCAAGGACTGTTCTACAATGTTCAGTAAAATGTATAATAAACACATCCTTTGTTTATTCCAAATTGCAGGGATAGAGACACCTTTTTCTTATTCCAGACTGCAGGGGGAAAAACTTTCAAGACCACAAATATGGTATTTCTGATAGGCTTTTATGGTTAACTTTTCAATTTTTTAAAATCAGATATAAAAAATGTTTTCTTTTATTTCTGGTTTCTAAATCTGTTCAGTTTTAATCATGAGTGGGATCTGAATGATGTCCAATATTTTAGGTTTTTTTTTCTTTTTTTTTTCATTGTGGTGTATGTTATTTGCTTACAACTCTTCTGTTCCTCCAACCCTTGGCCACATTACACATATAGGCAGAAGAGAACCCCCCACACCATTCATTTGGTCATGTGACACTTCAACGGAATATTAATGGGCAGGACATGTTGAAGACTGTAAATGTTGTCTGTCTAATTTGGCTTAGTTTCTCATTCTCCTGCTAATGGCCCCATGAAGAAATTCCCCCAGATAACTCCCGCAACTTCAGGCTTCTTCAGAAAGAAAACATATACAGCAAACCTGAATTTGATTCATACTCTGAAGCAGACACACCCTAGTGATGCTTCAACATGAGTTGAAAACTAAATTTGATTGTAAGCCATCAATCAGACTTTCAGAGTAATTTGTAATGTAACAGTGTCACAGGAAAAACTGGTCTCACAAATGTATCCACTAGGATGATCACATACATTTTTTTCTTTTACACTATTGATGTGCTGGATTATATGGATTAATTTCCTATATGATTAATGACTACATTAAATCAAAATCTCATTACTGTGATCAATCATTTTGTTTGTTATATACAATTCTGTTAGATTCAGTTGGTTACTATTTTGTTTAGGATTTTTACAGTTATTGTCATGGGAGAAATTTAGTTAAAATGTCCTTTGTCCTC